GAGAAAGAAGAAGGAACATTTAGCAAGAAAGAAATTTTTCTATTTTAAATAGAAGCGTGAAGATAGAAGTGAGCGTGTTGAACCCATTTGGACCATTTTTCGTGCCTCCTGGAAGGACGATCGAAACCGGCTCTATCTTGAAACTTCCGGTTACTTTTCAACCGAGCGAAGATTACAAAGTGAGCTATCCCTCGAAATTCAATATTTTATTTTAATAACGATATTTCAATAAACAAATTGAAACGAAGAGGGGAAAAGAATTAGAAGTAACTGTACGAGGGGATGTAAATAAATTTGGTTCGAGGAGCTTTGCTCTTGAAGATGTACGTCCATCCGTGTCCTTCTATAATTCTCTTCTTCTCGATCGTGTATCTTCCTGGTCCAGGTCGAATTTCCGTCGACGGAGGCGGTCTGATGAATTCGGTGTTCATGTTGAACGGATAATTCTTCATGTTCTTTGGCTTCCTCGGAGATTTTGGATCGTAATAGCCGGGCCCCGGCTCCTTTGGATCCTTGTAACACAGCGATATATCCTTCAGCATCATCCTTATGCCCGATGCCTTTAGAAATCTGTCAAAAAATTTTATCAGACTTCATCTTTCGATCTTCGTCTCGCAATAGAGGATTAAATTTCAGAGAGAATTAAAAATCAGGAGAAAGGGATTTTTAATGATTGATCAACGATATATATATATATATATCTTGTAACAAGAATACCTTGGACAAGTGCCCCAACGTCCCTTGTAATAATTCGATTTCTTTTTTAATTTGTCCATTTCGCATGGGATCGATTTGGGCCAGTTGTCGAATTTTATTTTCGGTTTTGCGAAGTAATTTTTCATCGTGGTCTCGTCTCTTGGCCCTGAAAAAAAAGAAAAAAATGAAACGATATAGAGTATCCAACGTACGTATTTATCCTAGCCAACCTGTGAACAAATCGTAGGGACCCCTCTTTCCAACGACTTTGTTTAAAAAAGCGTCCATCGTCCTCGAATCCTTCACGTTGTATCTATCGATAAGAATAAGAAAGAAATTGAAAATCGGATATCTTCTTGAACGAAGAAAATAAATGTAAAAGAAAATTGTTATTACGTACAAGATGCAGGGCAGTGACCAAGGTTTAACTTCGATCTTGGATCTTGGTTGCAAACCATCGTACTCGAACGTTGGAACGCAGGAGAGGCCCTCGCGTTCTCTCTTGTCGATGTAATAATAAGGATAATACTTTGAGTATCCTGAAACGAGGAGCAAAAAAATGTTACTAAAAATTGATCGAAGTGGACGCCAGTGGAAGGAGATTAATTTGTTGAATCATTCGCCTGGTCCTGGAGTAACGGACGGCCAAGAAGGTTGGAAAAGAGGAACAATTCCGCCAAATCCAACGTTTCTTTTCGTTGTCTTGCAAGGTTTTTGCAGCACGTCGTCGGGCCATTGAAGAATCTCGTGGGTTCCTGGACCACGACCCATTTTCAATTGCTCCCTTTGCTCCTTCAATTTCCCCTTGTATCTTCCTCCCATGGTCAATGAAAATTCTTTCGTTTCCATCTGTCTCTTCCAACTAATTTTTAAAAATGGAAGAAAAAGCTTCATGTATATTGATCGACATCAAAAGATTTTTATTTTCAAAAGGATTTATATACTTTATACTTGGATGTTTGCATTTAAAAGGAAATTTAGGATGGTACAATCCTACTGCTGGTGATATTGTTAAACCTTTATACATTTTTGGATGCAATCCTATTTTCACATCTCGTTCTGCGCTGCTACCGAAAGCCGGATAAGCTTTTTTCGTCCGTGGAATTAAACAATTACACTTCCATTTGCACGCGCAACGACAAGTTTTCTTGAAATATTTTTTGGTTCCGGACATCGTGATTTTGATTCCAAGTTTTTTTAACTTTCAAGACTTTTATCACTTGTAAACGCTTATGAAAAAATTTTTTCTTTAATTAATGATTTAAAAGTTTCTTTGTTCGTTGATGATTTTTCATCGAAAGATTGATAATATTTGAGGAAAAATATTTTTAAAAAAAATCAAAATTATAGATATAAAAAAATTACCAACTCGAAGAAGAGTTCGTAATTGTAAAGATTAATTGAAAGGTTAGTGTTTTGAATTTTCCTCTTCGATTGAAACTAAGTTCATATTGTAGCCATTGATCGATATCGATGGAATGTGAAAAATATATTTTATAGATCTGTGCAAAAATTAAATTATATTTTTATGTTGTTGGATAATGATCGAGTGAATGTATTTTTTATTAGAATCAAGAGTATTTCGAAGTATTCAGCTCGAAAACGAAAACGAGATGGAACGTAAAACTGATTGGGCGAGGAGTGGTGCCATCTTATATCTTGAAGCCTCAGTTTCGAGTTGCTCGTTTCGAGGTTGTCAGTGACAAACCGGTAGAGTTGAAAATGTCTGTAAGTTTACATTTCTATTAATATTTTTATATATATATATTTTTTTTATCAAAAATTTTCAATGCTACACGTAAATGTAAGAAAATATCTGTTGAATGGTCGATAAAAGTATCAACGATAGGTATTAAAGGAAACCAACTTAGTCACGAATACCTTCAATCGATAAAATAGCTTCTAGATCATCTATCGTTCATCTCAAAATTTCAAAAACTAAAAAAATAAACAAAGAAATTAAATAAAATCGGCAAAAAATTTGTCTGCATTAGATCTTTTTGTTTACTTCGATCTTCGTCATTTCAATTTAATGATAAATAACTTTGTGCTGAGTATTATCCAATGTTAATCGAGTTTTCATTACCGACAAAAGCGATTTATCCAAAACTCGATACTAGTTTACGTGCTCAAATACCGAGAATTAGAACTAATTAGTTGGACAATTTAATTCATCACGCATAATAAATAACTAGATAAAGGAATTTAATACCGATAGTGGAATCGTAATTATAATTAGATCGTGAAAACATACGAACATGTTGTATCAAAATTAATTGAAGAAGCGATACGCGAAAGGAACAACTAATTATTTGCGTTGATGCGACGAATTAATTGCGATCCATTATGTTTCATCCTGTCTTGTTATCGATCATTTTGATGCATCGTCCCAAACAATTTCCCTTTACTCCCAACGATTCGTGCTTTTCCAATAATCTTTCAATAACGTTCAATGTTTGCAAATTTAATCTGTTCGAAATTAATCGACGATAGTTGTCAACAGCGCGAAATATTTTTTCGATTTATCCAGAATAAATAGATGATGTACAAGGGAAAAAAAAACAGGAAAATGAATCTCTTTGAAAATATATCTCTTTGATATAATCTATTTTTCATAACCATAGGTCAATTCTCAAAAATATCAATGTCGATTCAAATCTAATTTTTTTGTAGAACGTATGAGTTCACAGTTATCAATATTGTTCTGCTAATGAAGAATCATTGTCTGTTCAGAAAAATGTTATTTCGAATCAAAAAATTCGAGCTGGTGGCGAGCATTGAGAATTTTCGAATTTGAACGCGATTCGAAAAGAAAAAACAAATGTCGATAACTTTATCTGTGTCGACAATGTCCAATGATTCAAGCATAGATCAAAAGATCGCGAGAAATATAATTTCGTCGTTATAACAGTTCAGGAAATTACAGTTTAGAAATCTAGGCACATCGAGTTTCTTATCCTCTTTTTTTAATTCTCGATATTTTTATTTCCACAATATTTACTTCAAAATAATATCAAAAATAATCCATCTTATCAATAAATTATTTCTAATGTAAAAATAAAATCGAGTTGAATATAAAACAACCAAAAATGATCAATTTTTTTAATCTCTTTATTATCCTTAACATCAACGTTACTCTACAAAGACAAATTCGCAAAGTCCTTGGCTTAACAAGCTTATTAATTACTCTCCAAGTTTCGTCTCCATCCTTTAATCCCACCCTCTTAATCAATTCAATCCGAGTTTAATCGTTCATTCTTGAAAGTCGAGTCATCATGTTTTCGACAAATCAAACTCATTAATGTTCAGCATCTCGAAGTAGTGGATCCTTTTGAATTAAGTCGAGCAACGTCCCACCAGCCTCGATTACCTCCAAATTCCGGGAAAACAATTTCCTGCTGCGGTTGCACGACTTGTGCGTTGTTCACTTAACTTGTAAACCAAGTTACCAGTCGAGAAACATTCTCAAAGGATGTTGAAAGGGGTGGGAATTAAACGGAATATAAAAATGTAAGGATCACATACACGAGTCGAGAAAAAAATTTAGAAAAAAAATTCTTCATCGAATCGAGAATAAAATTTTCGACCAAATTATCGAGAAACAGTCTCAAAGGATGAAAAGGTGAGAATTAGACGGAATATAAAAATGTAGGAGTCTCATACGAGTCGAAAAATTTAGAAAAAAAATTTTTCATCGAATCGAGAATAAAATTTTCGACCAAGTTACCGAGAAAAAATCTCAAAAAAATGTTGAAAAGGATGAGAATTAGACGGAATATAAAAATGTAAGAGTCTCATACGAGTGGAGAGAAAAATTTAGAAAAAAAGTTCTTCATCGAATCGAGAATAAAATTTTATACATGGATGCCGAATGATCGAATGGGATTGAATCTCGATTGAAAGGAAATGTTGAAAATTTAAACAAAATTTCGGCCAGGAAATCTCCTTGTAAGAGATTCGTAATCATTGAGAATCGGATCAAGTATATTAAACTTGATATAGTATAATTTGCTAAGTTAGATAGTTTCTTAATGAGATGCCGAATATCTTCGTTCGTGGATCTCGTGCAATTTCCTTTCAAGATGTCCATCTAGAATCTGAACATATCTTGTTAATATGCATGGCACAGATTTCCACCCGACCCTATTATTACAAAGCCGCAGACATTTCGAGATGATTATTAGTTTCTCGGAATTCATCATCACCTTACTGCGCCAAGTAATACCAAGTGTAATCAACGGTGCTCAAAATTTTCCAACTCACTCTATCTCATCCACTCTATCTCTCCAAATTTCGAACGTTACTTCCATCTTTTTCTTAATATTCTTTTTCATTTACTTGAGTTATTATTTTTGTAATTTTTTTTTTTTTTTTTTTTACAATCAAGCTTCAAAGCTT